TGTCGCAACACACAGAAGGAATAAGACTATGATACAATGCACATTTACATCAAGAATGGATTTACGTGCTAATTGGAAGTGATTTTGCCGCCTTGATATTGGCTCTGGGTTGTGGTCTCACTGTCAAACACAAGGTATTCATCGGAACAAACACGTACAGCAAACAAACACATTGATTTATTTGTCGACGCAAGATGAGGTTGTCGAGGTGGAAAGAGGAGAGAGAATGCTACATAAAACGCCAGCGCGCCCAAGCGCATGCTCTAACCCAGGTCATTAATCTCGTTATGCTCAACGCAGGTGTAGGAAAGTCCAATTCACGGCAACCCAATACCGCATCGCTATGCTCCTTCCGCGTTCGTCGTAATGTGAATCCGAGGTGTCGCAATCTTGATCATCGTGCACTAGGCACAAGCTCATCTTGATGATTTCGCAGCGTAATAGTAAGTCGCTGCACCAGTACCAAGAACAAGAGCGGAAGCACTGAAGCTTTTGTGTTAGCAATGGCATCTCTCAATACTGTCATTGTGTGATGGAATTCGTACGAGGCAAGAGCGCCACAAGCCACATACTCAAGGATTCAGGGAGAAAAGGAAACGGTGTTCGCTCACCTAGCTCGCTTCCGATCGCCAAAACAAGCAGTCATGAGGTGACCGACGGGCCCAAACATGACTCGGAAGAAATGCTGAAGAAAGTTCTCGTTGTGATGATTCGGTCGCTGTGCAAGTGCAGGCTTCGCTGCTTCGACAATCTTGTCTTTGATACTCACACCATCTACCACTGCGCTTGTCGCATCTTCTGATGCCTCTGAAGAATCCTCAACTAGTACTCTGCGCTGCCGAAGGTCAGAATCCGGACCGGCTACAGGGTGCGCACCTGCGGCGGTAGCCTTGGGCTCAGACGTAACTTGATCCATGGCAGGTTTCTCGGTGTTGACAGATGTGGTGATGGCATCTCGCAGAGCATTGGAAGCCCGAGAGACGTCTTTTGCACCATCATGCTTATCCACACTTTCCGCTTCGCTGGACTCGTAGGTATGATTACTCGACTCGTCATGTTTGGTGTCGACAGCGTACCCAAGTTGCTTGCTCTCATCAGGCAGTGGGGTTGCGTATGGGTCACGCACAAATCTGGCGGGCGGACTGGACATGCGGGTAGTATTGTGACTGATGTACACGGGCGATGGCATACTGTCTAGATCATGGTGGTCCTCCTCTTCGTCGCTGAATTCGTCTTCAGGTACAGAAGCTAGCGAGGTGTACGATTTGACAGGTACAAGATCGACAGAGGAGCACGCTTGAGATAGAACAGATGGCTGGGGAGAATGTGGCCGCTCGTGCATGGATTCATCTTCGGGAAGATGCATGCCAATTGTCGCTACACGTTCCAAGATTGATTGACGGCTAGTGGGAAATCGTTCCAACGATGGATCGTTCAGGTCATGATCTTCCGCATCTGATTGTGGTAGCCTGTGGGGAAGATTGCTTCCTGTTCGCCCTTTAAAAAAGTCGTGTCGGCCGGCTCCGCCGAACAATTCTCTCGCGTTGTCCGTCTCGTAACCAAAAGTCGGTTGCTTGTCCAGAGAAAAGGGGGTATCGTCCTCTGAAAAGACAGACCCAGTGCTACTGACAGCAGATGCTTCGCGTTCATGGGGGAGGAGAGGTGCATCGCCCTCTTCATTCTCAGCGTAGTCATCCTCGTCGTCCTCGTAGGCCCCGTAGTGACATGGCTCCGAAATTCCCGAGTTATCACTCTTAGTAACGATCTCGCTTCCCCTATAATCCGAGAAGCCACTTTCGTGTGATAGCAACGGATACCTGTCGAGCTCGTCCTCGTCATTTTCAGATTCGGTTGGAATTCTGCCGTCATCATGGAAGCCAGTCTCGTGAGGAAGGAGAGGAGCTCCACCGAAATCATCGTCATCGTCGTCGTCATCGTCGTTATCAGTTCCATGGGAAAAATGCGGACCGTCGCTCAGCCCCGCTCCGCCATTCTCGAAGCCCGTCTCGTGGCTAAGTAAGGGCGCTAGATGCAACTCGTCACTGTCGTCAGGCTCCGAAGGTGTATCTATGGCCTCTCCGGAACTAGTCTGGTCTGTCGATGATGGCGCAGACTCATCGTCGATGATTATAGCGGGAGCGATCTGAGGATCATGATCCGCTTGGAAAGACTCATGGCGAAACAATGGAGCAGCTTCGCCATCATCAGACTCTGGCTCCGTATGGGACTCGGGCACGATATTGAGCTGGTCTGGCAAGGAATCCGCGGCTCTCATGTCATGCGCAGCCTTTTGGGCGGTCGTAGCGCCGGCGCCGAAGTCATCTCCATATGCAGGCCGACGGTCAGTCTTGTCGACTACCAGAAGAGGAATCTCGGGTGTTTTCGGAGCTGCTGTCTCGACCGGGGAGTCTACCTTGGTGCCCTCAAGGTCAGATTCTGAGTCGGCAGCGCGTTTAGCAACATGTTCAGGCAGATGGGCGTAGTGGATTTGATCGTAAGCTAGCTGCTCCTGGTTTATTGTACTGTCTTTGCGGTCCTCGGGCATCTTTGAGGGATTCCCGGGGAAAGTCTCTGGGGCGGCTGTGTTGGTGGTAGCTTCGGACGCTGGGCGCAGGGAGGTGCTCTCGCTGGCAGGCTTGACGTGGACAAGGTTGTTGCGAATGCCCTGGTCGACGGCAGCTGCAGAGAGTCAGCGGGACAGTGGACGAGGACGTAGAAGGACATACCGGTTTCTTTCGACTCGTCCAGCACCCAATGGTCCTCGCCGACGCGGATCTTGTACTGGTGGCTGCCTTCAGCGACGCCAGTGAACTCTCTGCTGAAGATGAGGTCGCCCGACGCCGTCTTGTCGTGCAGGGGCTGCATCTGCACCAGCGTCCAGTCGTTCAGGGAGGTGGTGACATAGACGGGCGGCTGCACGCCCGGCTGGGAGAAGGTGATGGTGGCGCGGGCGGCCATGGTGCCGTCGAGGGTCGGGTTGGGCAACGGCGGGGGTGGAGAGGGTGGAGGGAGCAGGGTGGGGTATGCAGGATGGCTCGCGTGCCTGGCAAGCCGCGGCGGGTCGTGGGCGAGGGGAGCGTCTACGGGCAGAGGAATATGGTCAGTGGTTGAGGATGGCGGTATGCTAGCAGGCCACAGAGGCCGGGGAGACTGGTGAGAGGTGTAGGCGGGCATGCAACGGGGCGGGAGAGGAACAGGTGTGGTACAGAGGAGGGGAGCATGCCAGCTTACAGCGCAGTGACGCCAAATGTCGTGCCAGCGACCCGAGGCAGGCAGGCAGGCAAGTGTCGAGGCAGGCGGGCAAGCGTTGAGGCCGCCTCAGGGCAGGAGCGGCTCGCCTGGTGGGTTGCGGCTTCCCTGCTCCGTTGGGCAACACGCGCAGGCGTCGTGGCTGCGGCGGATGCCTCTGCTCTCCGCACGCCCGCCTGTTGGAGCCTCGATGCTTTTCGCGCGGTGCTGCCAGAGTGACGTGAATGCAACGTCCAACACGCATCAGCGCTAGCCCGCCCGTAACCGAAACCAGGCTGCCTCCGCGGCGATCCTCGACCTCATGCTCCGAGTTTCTTCATCGCCCGCCATCTGATCGTCGGTCTGCCCAACACCCGAGCAGCGCAAGCAGTGACTAGGCCCTTGTGAAAACCCCCCTGAGACGTCCAAGAAGACGTCTATGCCATCGTCACCAGCCACACCGGGATAGCCCGTCGGCCTGGTGCACACGCGCGGCCAATCACCGTGTACCTCAGAAACACTCGAACCATTCGTTCAGCCTCCCGCCCACGCAACCCGAGGCCATGTTCTCCCACAAACCTCCGATACCATTGTGCCGGGATCGTGGCTCCAAACAAGGTTTCGAGATGCGCGCTGCGACAGGGCTTGCCGCACCATGACCACGCGACAACCCACAGTGCCGATGCCGACAAGAGGCATGCACAGGCCGCGTGGCTCTTTGTGCACCGTTTGATGTGCTTCTGGAAGGCAATCTTAGTTTCAACCAGCGCCGCCTCAATAATGCCGTGCCGAGTCTTGCAACGTGCCCATCGCCCTGTCGCACTTTGGGTGTCGTAACTCGTCCACGATGTATTAGATGTGTGTAGGTCCCGTCTGCCAGCCTCTAGTCTGGCCATCATCCTTCACTTTGCTTTTCGCTTCCTCTTCTCCAGTCGGGCGTTTGGAAACCTTGCGCCGTCGTAGCATCAACTCTCGTAGCCCCATGTCAAACCTTCGGACATCGTATAGCTCAACCAGGTACCGAACTCGCAATGGGGCACATCGTATACGTCGCGAACGGGCGTGACCAAGGGCCCGTCATAGGCCGAGTCAGTATGGCCATGTATACCGTCGCTGTGGCGTTTGTGGCTCTTCGGCAAGCACCCATCTTCGCCACGAGCAAATGTCGTATTGCTAACAAAATGTAGATGCTTCACGCGCGGATACGTTGTCAAGAAATTCGGCCTAGACGATCTCTTCATCGCCATCGCCGTTACCCTCGGAGCCGCACAGACTGTCACCATCATATTGCAAATCGAGCATGGCCAGGGACGACATGCATCAGAGCTTCACGTGGAGCAATTCGACGAGATGCTCATGGTATGTTCAACACACCTTGTGACACTCGACTTAGTACTGACAGTGGACTAGTACCAATGGACCAATATGCTCATCTACTTTGTCGCAAATTGGTATGCTGCAACATCGCTCTTGACATCAGCTTCCAAGATTAACTTTATTGCAGGGCGGTCAAGATGAGCATCTTATCTCTGTACTACCGAATCGGCTATGGAAAACAGGGCCTGCCATGGATCGTGCAGTCACCTGCTGTATGGACAGCGGCCGGCTTTATGACTGCCTTTAGTTTCTCCGTCTTCCTTGTGAGTTTCATGCCCGTCTATCTGTACGAGATGCACAACTGACATCGTCCGGAGGCTCAATTGTTCATCTGTACACCAGTATCACGTGTCTGGGATATCGAAGCCCAACCCGATGGATGCATTAATGCTGCCATGTTCATGGTCATTTCGGGTGCCATCAATGTCGTCACTGATATTGTCTTGTTGATCTTCCCATTGCCTTTGATATGGGTGATCAAATTCAACAAGAGACAAAGGAGTAAGTCGACGTCTTTATGTCTCTATGAACGCTCATTGTTGACCGTCCCTTCAGCGGCTCTAGCAGTCATTCTCTCTATCGGCGTCATCCCGGTCATAGCCAGCACCATGCGCCTTTGCGAGATTGTCATGTCGGACAGTCCCATCAGACCAGGAAGTACATGGCAAGAAGTCGATTTCAGCTGGTACGCCTTCGCCTAGCCCGTTCTCTTTACTAGTAGCATTTTCTGACAAATGAACCGCAGGGGCTGGTCTTGGGTTCCAGTATGGTCCCAAATCGAGGTTGACATTGGCATTCTGGCCGCCTCTCTTCCCTCACTGTCCCCTTTACTCAAACATGTTTTCCACTGTCCCGCTCGAGCCACCACACCTTCCGAGGTACCCACTCTACCAGGATACCGCGGGAGTTGGGGAGAAAAGAACCTGGTCAGCATGGACGACGAGGACGATATCGAGAAATCGCCATGGGACTTTGCATTACCCGAAGAGAAGAATGGCGCATTCGATTTCGATGTGGAGAGGAGATTGACCGTTACGGAGATTGAAATGGGAAAGGCTATGGATATGGGGAATAGTTACTTCGATGATACCGCGTCGGAGGTCGAGGAGAGAGAATCGGTAGGTAGACCGAGTATAGGGGTCGCAAGGACGGCGGATGTTCATGTTCTGTCTCGAACCGGGGTGCCGAGGCTAATAGAGTATAAGAAATTATGACATTACGTTACAATGTTTGCCCTGTGGCCCATAGCGCACTATCTGTTGGTTAGCTGGCATGTACCTTATGTACGTACCGATGCTTGCTTGCAACTGTTTGTAGCAAGCATACTTGCCTTTATAGGCAGTTCTCATCTCATGTTAGAGTAAATCATCAATTCATCTCATATCTACTCACATCCAAGACTATCTGGGATGGTTCAGGTATGGGACCTTCATTTCTTTCGTCTCGTGGTGCATCATGTTAGTGTAGTCATCAGGTGGTATACAGGGTGTTAGTACAAGTCTTCTACCGTCAAAGGGCTTCCGACGCTTCACCAGCGTCCGAAGCTATCGAACGCGGAGCTGAATTGAGTAGCTGGGTCGCGTCAGTCACGATCCTCATCATCATACCGTATGCGTGCGTTCACTTACCGTACCCACTCGTGACAGCGCATTCGCTCGCCTCAGCTTTCTCCATCGCTTTGGGCAGCCACTCCCTAATCTTCTCTTCCCTGTTGTGGTGACTCGGGTGCGTGCTCAGTATCTGCGGCGGCCCCGCCCCACCAGCCTTCTCCATGCGCGTCCAGAACTGCATTGCAGCTTCTGGTCGGTAGCAGCCCTGCGCCATCATCAAGAGACCAATGTAATCGGCTTCAGCTTCGTGCTTGCGGGAGGCGGGCATGGAGAGGAAGAGGTCGAGGAGCATTTTGCCCGAGTAAAAGGAGACATCGAAGAGAGATAGGGCGAGAACACCGAGGAGGATCAGAGGCGCTTGAGACATGCGTTCACTGTTCTTTGGTCAGTGCATGCTTCATCGGTCCGAGATAAGAGTACCAACGCAGTGTGATGCGCAACCACGTGCGCAATCTCATGTCCCAGCACGGCTGCAATGCCATCCTCATCCTTGCACAGAGGCAGAATCCCCGTAAACACAAAGACCTTGCCCCCCGGCGCTACAAACGCGTTCTGTTCCGGAGACTCGATGACGGTGACCTCCCACTGCAAGTCTTTCAACCCTTCGCCCTCGGCATACGGCAACAAACGCTCCAAAACCCTCTTCACCTGCTTCACCCGCGAATCGCTATCCGGTAGTATCCTGCCTTGGTATTCTTGCCGCACTTGCTCTACGGATGACCGTCCCAGCGCTTCTTCGATGCCAGGCGAGATGATGTTGAAGCGGCGGCGACCAGAGACGGGCACTTCTTCGAGATTGTACAGGTAGACGCCGCCAGTGCCCACACTGATCAGACCAACGTCACGGTAAAACGTTGGGCGGGCAGCCCAGCGAAATAGGAGACCGGAGAGGCCACCTGAGGGAGAGTTGAACCGTTTGTATTGCTGGCCACTGCGACCGAGTTGCTGGTAGGCACGGGATTGTGGAAGGCTACGGACATGCTGGAATGAGGGTTGATACGTGCGAGGTAGAGCGCGAATGGGTACGAATCGCGGTCGTATCCGGTACATGGCGGCGTTGATGTGGTGTTTGGGTGAGGTTTGGGCGAGCTTTGGCGATGAGATGGGGAAGGTGACGTGCATGCCTATGAACTCCGCGGGAATGCCAAGACAGCCACGGTTCGCTCCAAGGTCGTCAGCATTGGTCATGTTCGACTTGCGTGACGATCGCCTATCGGCCCAACAGACAGACAGGAACCCCAGTTCACATAGCGCAGTATAGGGATCTATTTAAGAAGATACAAAGCCGTTTCACCTACTTCTCCACAGGCTCACAGGCGTCATCTTCCATCGCGTATCGACAGGCTTGGAACATGGAAAAGTCGTAGCTCAATACGTTGAGCTAATACCGGCGATTCGCAACGTTCCCGTCGTTTACTCGCTCAGTGTTTCCAAATTCATTTCGGGATGCAACTTAAATGATACTCCTAGCTTCCGTCCAGATTGAAGTGGCCTTAACAAACAGATCGGACCTCGGGAACATCGAATGATGCGGCTACAACACGGTCACTTTACAAGAGGAGAGCTAGAGGAACAAGACTTTGAAGGTGGCAACACGTCGTATATATTGTCGCAATACTGTCGCTGCTGACAGCTTTTCGCATTGCACTGTAGTGGTGGTACTTGCTCCTTCGGCTCCATCTTGCTCAAACTATACGTAGGCATACTCTACGTGAACTTCAAGGACGCAGGCATCGGGCTTGTAGGGGACAGGCTCAGGGAAGGGAGAAACCATTGCCGGAGAGGTTGAGCAAGGCGTCTCAGCAGCAGAAGACTCAGCCTTAGTAGGTGTAGCAGACGCAGTGACCACGGCAGACGAGGTAGGAACGACGGCAGAAGACTGGGTGACGGCCGCACTGGTAGCGGAAGAGGCGGCAGCAGAGGATGATGAGCTGGTGGCACCGCACGACGGCAGAGGTGCGACGCTGTCGATCTTGGAGACGACCCAGGAAGAAGCATCGTCGGTGTAGAGTTCAAAGTAGTTCAAGTGGTCGGCCACAACGTTTCCGCCGGCGCAGACTGGGTCGCCGGCAGCACAGTAGGAGCGAAGGACGGGTGCGTAGCGATTGAGGCGAGCAAGATCCTCCGGCTTACGCCCGTTAGACTGCTTGTCGGCACCGTCAAGCACATTGTAGGGCTGGTTGGCGGTATGCATCACGTCTCCCCAGAGGAGAGCCGCGGCGACTGAAACATGTTAGGAAGGACATTGCCGTAGTATCGTCGAAGTCGCTTACCCGCTTTGCCTGCAGCAGAGTTGTTGTCTAGGCCGGTCGAGACGAATGTGCATCCACCCTATATCGCAGTACGTAGTTAGCACATGCCTCACGGGTGCCCGGTTCTCACATGATGCTTACCGGTCCTCCAAGCACATCTCCGGCCACGTGAGCTCCCTCAGAGTACCCATTCACCACAATGTGCGAGCAAGGGCACTTCTCGTTGAAGGCGGTGATCTGAGAGATACCATTGCGAGCGCCCTCAGCAACTTGGTTACAGTAGTCTCCACCAAGGGTTACATCAAACTGGATGTCAATGTAGTCGCAGCTCTTGCCCTGAGCAGTCAACTTGCCGCAGGTGGCCTCGACGAAGGGGAAAGTGCGACCGTCATGGTATGGGGCGTCGTTGCCACGAGCCATGAATATGACCACATCGGCACAAGTTGCGTCGAGCTTCGGGGGCACGGTTTGCGCAGCAGCGAGGGCGGAGAAGGCGCCCAGGGCGATGGTGTTGCGGATACTGAACGACATGATTAAGGATTATGTTTGTATAGTAATGTATAGCGATTAGAGAGTGTGGAGGTGGAGACCGCAGGTAGGGCTGGAGCTGCAAAAAGAACGTGATGGGCCTTTTAGGGGTACCTGGGGTATCACATTGCAGCAAGAGGGGACAGCTTTAATACATGCAGTATACGAACACGTTAAATTTGATCGTTCACCTGGGCGTCAGCATCGCTTACGGTGGAGACGTCTATACGAGCCTGTTGTGGTTCCATCCCTTTTGCCCTGCATAGGTGCCCGAACAATCGTTGCGGTTGCTTGCATCCTCGAGCCACAATCTCGTTAGAGGATTACTAGAAGAAGAAGCTACCAACAGCTGTGTTCTGTTGGCGTTAGTCCTGCCGGTAGCCCAGCCATAAAGGGATAGAACAGCATCAGTGCCACCGGGTATTCTGATATCTCGGCAACCCCTACAAAAAGCTTGGTACTTGAGATTTGGATAACACGGCAGTACGACAAGATGTATTCGTGCATCGGCATCCCGTTGTTCTGCACATGGTGGGTCTCGATGAACGCGTTGCTTCTCAGCTAAAAGATGTTCATGTCACAGCAGCCGTGGTGACATAGCGACGTATCAAAATAAAAAGCGCCTCGCGACTAACGACGGCGCACAATCCTTTTGACTATGGCGACTGAGCCTATGTAGACGCTGTTCACGACTCGCGTCTGTACCTACCTTACAGTTCTCCGTCGTAATAACACTCCCATGGCAATTGGGGTTTCTTCCAATCATGCTAGTCGAGGAGTAGAACTTTCAAATATTGCCCAGCTAGGTCTTTCCAGGGATCTTGCACCTCATCCCACGGCTTCCAGTGATCAACGTGCCAATAGGATTGCGATCCTTGAATAATCCAGGGCAACTGATCCCGCTGGAAGATAGCATCCGTTGCCGAGCCTGGAGATGGAATTTCTTAAGTTTGAGCATCTCGAGACTACTGTTGAGGCATCCATCAGAAATGGTGGTAGAGTGCTCTGGTCAGACACAGAGCGGAAGCGACTTGCAAGACCACGGCCCTCGCGAAGGGTTTATTTCCAATCACGTCAACGTACCGTCGAGACTCACAGACTTTTTCGTCCCCTTCGTGTTTGAACAAAATCTGTCGTTTTTGCTGCCTCTAGAACGACCTAGTTTTCTCTTTCCAAAACGCTCTCCACGCAGGGTCGCACTGAGACTTTTTCAGTGTTTCGTCGTCGCGTTGATAGTACCGTCCCCCAAAGGCTGTCTCAGGTGCGAGTTCCAGCCCAATGCGATGAGTGAAGGGAGTGGCGTACTAGTATCTATCAATCACACACCGAAAAAACTCGGAATATATCACCAGTTCAGCTAGCATCTAAAGCTTGACTAGATTTAGGAAGAACACGAGATATTTTAACATCCGCGAGCACGACTCTTGATAGCTGTTTTCAACTAACCTTTGGACCGGCGAGTCCTCGTTTTTCTTCGAGCCGTTATGAGTGAACCCTAATGATCGCGAAGACGCACCCAATCTACTATCAGCCGCAGTTCTACTTTGTAGAAAAAGAGTAGCCTGCATACTTAAGTGTTAAGATTAAGTAGTAGTAGTAGCACCTAGGTAGTACCTAGTAGAGCCATACGACAAGGTTCTGATTATCGTAAACTTGTTGCGTCACTCCGGCATCATCGATCTCTCCGGTGATATTCTCTTTAGCAAGACTTGACTCGCTGTAGCGGGCATCGTGGCTGCTTCTTTACTGTACTGATATCAGACGGACCTCGGAAGCTGGAAGGCGCGCGCACATGATTGGCTGGGAGAGGCTGTGGGGTAACTCCGCCAAGTCTACCACTTCGCTGCGAACATCACCCTATTGCCACGAGGCTTTGTCCTAAGTAAGATGCGCAAACAATCATTCTAAAAGCCAAACCCAGAACCCATTGCGCGTACTGCGTTGTCTGAGCTACGTAGCTAGGCATTCAATGCGCGAGGCTGGCTTCCGAGCGTTGCTTCAAGCGCAGTGGCAGAGCGTGCCGTATCCGACGTACTCGCCTCGCCTGGCCCGCCGGCAATGACCGCTGCGGCGGGCATCCCGCCACCGATCCCCTCCTATTACCTCATAAATTCGGAAAACTGAGCTTGTAAAATTCGCCAAACTCGATCTCCCGCAAGACGTGACTCAGCAAAGTATGGGTCTGGGGAAGCAGAATCCTGGGGTCGACTGACCTTGCGGTCAAACATCATTTTTGCCGTGCAACAACATGGCCGCCATTGGACCGGATCCACCAACTGAAGAGTTCAGCCAGATCGAAGAGGAGGATATTGCGCCAACCAAGCAAGAAGTATCTTCAACCTTTGATGTCACGAGAGTCGCATCTACCGAGCCGCCTCCCAATGGCGGATGGGTAGCATGGTCACAAGTGCTAGGTGGGCATATCATCACCTTCTTCACCTGGGGCTTCATCACATCATTTGGTATGTTCCAAGCGCACTATACCTCCATTGGACTGTCGACCGCGTCCAATATCTCATGGATCGGTGCACTCACCGTCTTCTTCCTGCTGTCCATCCCTCTTTGGTCTGGCGCCGCGTCAGACACCGGTCATTTCAAGCTTGTTCTGCGCGTAGGCATTGGACTATGGTTGGTCGGCATCTTCATGACAAGTATCTGCAAGGAGTACTGGCAGTTCGTGCTTGCGCAGGGGTTTTGCATCGGTTTCGCAAATGGATGCATGTTCGTGCCCATGGTATCCGTGATCTCGACATATTTCGATGCGACAAAGCGGAGTTTTGCAATTAGTATCACGTTATGCGGGTCGGGCACTGGTGGGCTAGTCATTCCGATCATGCTCAACAGGTTGATTGATCGCATCGGGTTTGGATGGGCGGTGAGGACGTTGGGCTTCATGGCGCTGGTCATGCTATTGATTGCTGAGCGGCTGCTAAAGAAGCGGCTTCCACCAAAGGTTGCGGTCAAGATGCTCGAACCGAGTGAGCTCAAGGACCCGGTCTTTGATCTTTTCGTAAGTGGTCTGATTCGACGAACCCGGGACGTCTTTGCTAACGTACACAGATTCTCGGCTCGGTCTTTTGCTTCGCAGGTCTTTGGTTCGCTTTCTTCTATGTAAGTACATACCGCAATCTTCTTCAACAAATAGCTGACCTTACCCAGATCAATGCTTTCGCTCGAACAACGTTGGGTATGACGTTGGAAGAATCGATACCGCTCCTCTTGGTGCTAAACGGCATCGGCATTCCGGGACGTCTGTTACCCGCGTACGTTGCTGGCCGCTATTGCCGGCCATTGACCATCAGCCTGATCGTCAGTTTCGTCACTGCTCTTCTACTATATTGTTGGATTGCGATCACTTCGACAGCAGGAATGTATGCCTTTGCGGCGCTTTACGGCTTGTTTGCTGCAGGCTTGCAAGCCATGTTCCCTGCAACACTCGCCGATCTTACCCTGGACAACAAGAAAATCGGAACAAGAATGGGCATGGGGTTTGCCTTGTCTAGTTTTGGTTGCCTTATCGGAGGTCCTGGTGGAGGTGCGTTGGTTGAGGTTGGCAACGGATCCTATCTGTATGGACAGGTGCTTGCTGGCTCATGCGGTGTATTGGGCTTCATGTGTTTCTTGGTAGCGGCATTGATACATAAGAGGCAGGCAAAGCTGTTCGATGGCGTCTAAAGAGGTGTTGTGGCGACTCATGTCCTCAAGGCTTTCGGCCGGTGTCGGGAAGCGTTGCATCACATTCATGCAAAATGGGAGCCAAGATCTCGCCGCCCTGTCATTGCCTTATTTCCTCGCAAGGACCGCGAAAGCCAGAACGAAGAAGCTTAGATCGAAGGAGGTAGCCATTCATAGCATTGGGTCGTGTTTCTCATGCATGTTTTGTACACTACCTACGTTCGCCCGTTGTTGGCCTTTCCGCCAGACCGTGGAACGCGTTTGAATTATATATCTACGTGTTTATTCGTTTTCATAACACTTTGAATATCACCTAAAACACGCCCGGAATAGGTGGCCCCCAGATCTTGAGCGCCTGTGGCCCAGCAGGAACGTGCGATACCTCCGTCTCAGCATTGACCAAATCGCCATCCGCATAGTGCTCCTTGTAACGCTGTTATTATCAGGCCAATCAAATTATGACAAGTGTTGCCTACCAATATGAACTTGCTGGTATCAAACCAGTAGTCAAAGACTTGACTTCCGAGGACATGCTGTTCCCGGTTAGCAGTTCGTCCACAACCATGGAGTTGATGTAACCAACTCTTCCAACACCCCAACAACTCTCATATCCTTTCGACTCAAGATAGTCATGGCCCAAATGCTCGACGTCGAAGTCATGGGTCTCAAACGCAGAATGCGCAACAGTAGGTTCGTAGTCCGGTTTGACCCGCTTAAAGAAGAAGGCATGGTGATCTGTGTACTCCAAACCACGATCGATATGGAAGAAGCATGTGATGGGCTTATCGTCTTTGTAAACGATATCCGATGGAGCGAGAGCGAGAGTCTTGGTGTACCAGTCATACATCTGTTGATACGCGCCATCTGGATATGTCACACCGTAGTGACCCCAGCGATGAACGGGAGCTGGGCCGAGCTCAAAGCGCTGGAATTTGCCCTTTCGTGGCTTTTCGTCCTCGTAATTGACGACCAGCTTCTTCAGAGCTGGCGGTTCGGCCTCCTTCTTTTGTTGACCATGAATGAGATAGACATGGTGGCCTACAGGGTCGGTGAGCTTAACATAATTCCCTCCTCCTGGAGCGTCGAGAGGTGCAATAGAAGTAGCTCCATCTATCTGACTTGCGCACTCCAGCTCTCCTCTACTCTCCACTTCATATGCTGCTCCTTCGAAACTGCTCTTGCCGTCGGCTTGACGTGCGATGTATACAAAGGGCTCCACGCCATACCCTTTGAAGAAGATCTGGTTTTGGGGATCTTCTCGCGCGATGGACAGTCCGAAGTCGAGGAGAAATTGACGCGCCTTGGTTAGGTCGGCATGGTAGTAGATGACGAACGCCGTTGCCTTGAGACGGATCCTCATGTCGTTGTCAGGTATCGGCATGTCGTATGATTCAAAACAAAAGTGTAATAATCTATGCGCAAGCGTCGTTGGTTGAGCGGATGATATACAGTGCTGCAATCCGATGTATGTTGATATACTCTACTAACCTCGAGCTGTCAGCTCAAGCACGTGGAGGCTATGTAGCTTGCCTTCCGCGACCGCTTTACATCAGTTGTGGAACCGAGGTACCGGTACAGCGTCATCAGTCGACGGTGTCAGGTTCCAAGGAGCTAGTACGCTGGGGTTCGTAAAGACCAAGTGGGTTAGCAATAGTTGTGGTTCTGACGTAGGCGGGTAAGGTGGTGTGAGCACATTGATACCACCTTATCCTGGGAATTCTATCTGCCCTAGTAGCTAGCGTTTGACCAAGACCGTTCAACTGAAGCCGGAAATTAGTTTGTCAAACTTCTAAATTTGCATGCAACACTGCGAGTGCATGTTCGAAGGAAGGGTGATTTGCATAGCGCGCAAAGTGTCGCAGGTGTGATTGACGCGCTGTGAACAGGAAGTAAACTGATTCATTCTGCCCTGCTTATAATACATTTGAGCACATGTATACACGGTCACTGGAAGAACTTGATTTATTCGTAGTATCCTGGCGCTAAGTTGTACTGAAAGAGTACATCACGATCGTGTCCGAAGATGAGTCGCGCATTAGTCAACTTCTGCAAAGAGTGTATCATCTGGTTGGATCTTGACCAAGATGCATGGTCCCTGGTAAACCAACCCTGGGTGGCAAGAGACTCGTAGTTCTCTTTGACAACATATTGGTCAGTGGTAAAAACCCACGTCCCGCTGTTTTTGAGGTTCACCTGGAGGATTGAGAGGCCGGGGGTATGACCGGGGCTGTGGCGGATGATCAACCCAGTGTTCAGCTCGAATCCGTCGCCGTGGAACGGTTTCCAGTTAAGATCGAATTGAAGATAGGTAGGCAGATAGACACCTGCATAGAGTTTTGAGTCAGCCTTGCCGACCCTGTAATTCATAATGTTCCATAAGACACATTATGACTACGAGTGGGGTGCATGTCTCTGTGACAATGACTTACCAAGATCTGTTTTTGTCGCAACGCTGTAAAATGCGTTCTTCAGTTCCTGCTCATGTGTATAGATAGGGACGTCCGTTCCCCGAAAATACTCTAATCCTCCAGCATGATCAAGATGAAGATGGCCCATGATGACGGCCTTAACGTCTTTGATGTCATTGCCAGTTTTCCGAATGGCAACATCCAAGTCATGATCCTCGCAATAGTTTTCCCGAGCAAAGATGTCGTTGAGCTGTGGTCCCCAAACGTCTGGGTAATCTTTTCCAGGACCAGTCTCGAAGAGCACGAGTCCTTCAGTAGGATGAGAGACCAAAGCACACATCATTACCATTGACCTTCGAGCATGTTGTTGCGGGTTCAACTTGCTTGCAGTAGAAGCATTCGCCTACATAGCCGAGTCAATCTGCTGTTTTCTGATACCAGCGCCAGCGTTGTTGTGCTGAATGGATTGAGACGTACCCCGGTGATCATGAAAGCCTCATCAGCTACCACATCTCCTACATGAAGAAGCCAAAGCTTCGTTCCCTGAAAACACGATGAGTACAACGCGTCGTTCTGGAAAGCGAGGGCTTACATCAGGTGCCAGACTCCCAGGAATATTCATCATCCCAAACCGTTTCTCCGTGAACAGTCGTGTATTGACGCAATGAAGTCTGGCAAGTGAACTACGTGAAGAACTTAGCAGAGCCTATGAAACCACGTGAACAGACTTCGCTGCTTGCTATTATGTAGACATACACCATCTGAAAAGCAGCCACCTGTGTATCTGGATTCTGACTGACTATGCGCGTTGTGGTACGCGTTTACCCCGCTTCAAAAGCAGCCCAAGTAGCCCACATAGTCAAGCTGCGTATTGTCCGCGGATGTATTCCGAAAACCAAGACTGCAACTTATCGCTGACAAATTCAAATTGATTCGACTTCAGTCTCTGTATTTTGGTACAGCGGATAAGGTGGTATGCCTTGGCTGGTTCCTGGGTCGGAAAGCGGATACGCTGCCTTTCGACCACTGATATTCATGCGCGTTTCCGAGAACCACACTGCATATGCTGATAGAGGAGTGAGAGTTGGTGAACTCCGACAACACATAGGAGCTGCCTTTGCCTTGAGAGCTGTGCGACCTGCTAGCTCCAACTCTTTTTCCCTATTCCGCGATTAGCTGTTCACGATGTCTTCAGAGCCAGTTGCGTGGGATAGATTTGTTCGTTACATTGCGCAAGGGACTGATCAGGATATTCGTTATGGCGACCCCATCATTTCAGGCTCAGACGTGGATTTGATTGCTCAGATTGCAGAGGAAGGAAAACTTGAAGTAAAGAGGTTGCATGGAAACGATCCGCTGAGTGCGACACCAACAGGCGAGATCGACAAAGTGGCGAGGCTGCTGGGACCGCTCGAGCCAGCTCATGTCCCAATCATCCGTTGCATTGGATTGAATTACAAAACACACAGTATGTATAGGATTGGAACACTAGTGGGAGAAGCACCCGATCTAACAGATTCCAAGTTCTCGAGACCGGACGGCCGCTTCCAACGTGTCCAACGGTTTTTACTAAGCCAGGGCCAGCCGTTGCGGATCACGGCGAGGACGTCCCAATTCCTTGTTTCGCACAGGAGCAATGCGATTACGAGGGTGAACTGGTCATTGTCATCGGCAAAGACGCAAAGAACATAGTGGAAGCCGATGCGTTGGACTATGTGGCTGGATATACTGCAGGTAACGATGTCTCCGCGCGCGACTGGCAAAGAGAAGCTGGGAAAGCAGGGCCTGTTCCGCAGTGGTCCTTCAGCAAGTCATTCGACAAGTACGCGCCGCTGGGACCGTGTATCGTAGCCACTCACGTCCTAGGAGAAGCCAACAAACAGTCGCTGAGGACGATGGTCAATGGGGAAATCAGACAGGAAAGCAATACGTCAGATCTGTGCTTTGGCGTCCGACGACTTGTCGCATTTTGCAGTCAAGGCCAGACTCTTCAGCGAGGCTCGTTGATCATGACCGGGACTCCAGGTGGAGTCGCACTGTTCATGAAGCCGCAAGCCTTTCTTGAAGATGGGGACAGCGTCGAGGTGGAGATTGGAGGAATTGGCCGAATGTCGAATCGCATGTCGTTTGATGCATGATGAGAAAGTAGACAGCACGTCCCGTTGAATCCATGTCCGTAGAGATGGATGGCAGGAATCGGTACCATGTGTCCATAGCAATTCAAGTCGTGATCTTGAGTCCTGGGAAGCGCGTGCAAGCAGATCGAGGCGAGAACATCAGCTAGCTCGACCCCGCAGCCCTCGCCCGCCGGTCGCGTTAGCGTGCCAAGGGCAGCCCGACGGCTCGAGTGCTGAGCCGACAGTCAGTGCCAACATGCATAACATGCCCAGGTGCCTTCGCCGCGCCATGGAGAAGCCGTTCGGGCTCTCCAAGTCTTTCATCTCATCCTCACATCATGTACCCATGCACCAAATGCGAAAGGACCTATCGTTCGCAAAACTCCTTGACGCGTCATCAACACAGCCACCAAAAGACCTGCAAGCACCGCTGTTCAACTTGTGGCGTCGTCTTCCATCGCAGGGATCTTTTGTCTCGACACTCGAAGCTTCACCAGCCTTCGTCTCTCAACGACACAGTTGAACCGCCATCTGCCCAGATCGGCAGTGCAACTGCCGCATCGGGAAGGCAGCGATGTCATACCGCGTGTCTCCGATGTAGAGAGTTGAGGACGAAATGTGATGGACAGCGTCCGTGCTATACATGTCTGAACACCGACTCTTCCTGTCAATACTCCAGCCGTTCCAATAGGCTGAGCCAGGTTCTTCCACATGTCGCGACACCGGCCACCGATGCACCTCCACACGAGTCCAACCAACATGACGACCAGCCAGACGATGTGGGCTGCTTGTCGTACGAGGGATCATGCTTGCCTATCCAGAGCGCCGAGCATCCGAGAGAACATGATCTCCATCCAGGTACCCATCATATACGCCAGAGCTCCCTGGACAGACAGTCAATCTACGATCCGTACAACGATTGCTTGTTAGCGGGCATACCTATTCGTCCCGAACACTCCACATCCTCCGTCGCAACCGGTGAGACGTCCGATATAGGAACCATGTCTTGGCCGTGGCTACACGAAAACCTCTTTCTACCTGCCGACCCCCACTCGTTGGCCAACACGATGAGCTCTGTGCAATTCCCATATTCCCAAGACGAAACGCTTGCCGGACTTGACTTGGAATCCTTCGCCAATCTTGGCTCGCTGTCAACGCAGAGTCATGTCGGCCAACCGGACGTGGAGATGCTCTTAGGGCAGACTTCTGCGTCAGACGGATCGAGCAGCACAGCACATCACCAAGCCTCAACGAATATCTTCGCCACGGGCACGTTGGAGGATACGTGTAAGTCATCGTTCGATAGCGTGATGTGGAGCATTCTTACTGATATGAAAATAGGCAGTCTGGATCAAAGTGCGTCGATCACATCCAGAGACAATCAAAACCTAGTCATTGAGAATCTAGTCAGCCTCGCTTCCTCACCAGCGTGGGGTAATCAGTCAGAAAAGGACCGTGCAAACTCCTGGGCCCTCGCTTCTGCCAAAGTTGCACTCGCATTTGGGCTCACTAATTATCAAGAGTGCTCGGGTTCGTCAGCACTCTACGACTTCTGCGCCAAGTACGTAGAACATTTCGGACCGCTATGGCCCCTGTTCAGCTTGCAAACCTTGGACCTCGACGCTCTTCATCCAATCCTTTTTCTCGTTCTTACTTCGATCGGATCGATGTATTGCGGCTCCAACGCGAGCAATTATGGGGCCATGATGCATACCACCATCCGGAGCACTCTTACCATGGTATGGGAGCTTGAAAACGAAGAGCTCGGTCTTCTCTGGCTGGCACAAGCGCGACTGCTGACTCAGGTAGCTGCGCTGTATTTCGGACAGCCAAAGGCTTTCACCTACGCCCACCATCTCGGCGCCTTGCTTGTCGCTCAAGCTCGGAGGATGGATCTCTTCTCAGCCGCATATTTTGACAAAGCTATGCAAAGGCTACAACGCATGAAAGACACTGCTTCAGATGAGGAGCGTCTGGAGATGTGGTTACAACTGGAGACACGTCGACGATTAGCATTCGGTATATTCCGCGGCGACAGCTACACTAGTGTGTTGCTACACAGCAAACCTCTAATCTCAATGGAGGAGATCGACCTTCAGCTGCCAATGTGCGACGCTGTATGGCGAAGCAAGAAGATGTCCCCTAGCTTGTGCCTGCAGATGATAGAGCATGACCAAACGCCTAGTAGAGAACTATGGGCTTCTGATATCTATCGTATCGCCATGGATAAGAATGAGCCGCTTCCACCTCTGGATCCTGCAGGACAAGAGCTTCTCATGTTCGGACTGCAATACTCTATTTGGCGCTTTTCCAAGGACCACAATATGTTCACCCGTTTGTCCGGAGATCTTGAAGACTTTAGTAGCGATGACTTATCATCTGTTTCTTCTGATAATCCCTGCGAATCCATTGCCAGCAGGAGCCCTGGTTCGGAAAGGCCCAGCACAAGACGTCTATCAAAAAGCGCTACCAAGTCTTCAGAGACACACTGTTTGGATAGTACGGTACGTCGGATGGAGGATTTACGGCAGCAGCACCGACGTTTACTTTCTGCTCTTGAGAAGTGGGAGCAAAGCCTTCCTCTAGTCAAGACATTCGTGAGAACCAATCTCGACCGTAGCTGTTTGATGAGTGGTCTAATACTCTTTCACTTGGGGCATCTTCGCCTACATGTCCCACTCGAAGACCTCCATCAAATTCAGTATCGACTTGCCGATAATCTTACTATCGAAGATCGTCTCGTTGATAAGGCGCGCAAATGGGCCAACTCACGACAAGGTCGGATTGCGGCTGAGCGGGCCTACAGTATCTGGAACATTATAGACCGAGAGTCAAAGCTGGAGAAGGAAAAGAGGGTAAATTTCAACCTATTGGCTTTCATAGGTTTACATCACAGCACAGTAGCTGTATGGGCATACACAGGAGCGCGTAACGACAAGGTCAATAGGAACTCTGTAGAGTCTTCAATCGTACTGCAAGCGCGCGAGGAGACCACGGCTATTGATCCGCAGAGAATTGGCACGTTGTCGTCGTTCGTGGATTTATATGGCCGCATAAGCCCTGCGGGCTGGTCGTCGTTTGCGAAAGCAGCAGGCACGCTATCAAAGCAGCACTTTCCCGTCACTAAAGGATGTTGATTAAGACGAAGTGGTATGCCATTGCATTGAGGGGCTATCAGTAGCGCGCATCACACAAGCACGTTCAAACATCAGATTTCGTGCTTCGACTGGGTTATGTAGAAGTATCGGTTATTATTGTGTAACTTCCAAGGTCACAACTAGTCCTCCCGAGCCACGTGACGAAGTATTACGCCTCCAATCGTCTGAACTTCAACCAACAAGAGCCCGTCTTCGATCCAGCTGCGAAGACGTCCGCCAGAGCCAGGTTGTCTTCTTCCATGCCGGGGGGCATTGTTGCTTTGAACTTTCGAAAGATCAAACCTAGCATGTACTTGAGTTCTGTCAAAGCCAGATTCGAGCCCGGACAGGCACGAGAACCATGGCCGAACGGAATCCAGTTCAGTTTCATACGTTCATCAGCGCTGATCCAGCGCTCAGGTTTCCAAAGCTGCGGCTCTGGATAAACCTCTTCCAGCTGTCCCTGGTTGAGCGCTGCAGTCGATGCGATCACGCCTCTCGGGACTTGCTTTCCAGCGATTACAAGATCCTTCCCCAAATGTCTTTCGAGTGGCCCTGGGATCATAGGGTACATCCGCATGGTCTCCCGAATAACACCGTCGAGAAATTCGAGATTCATGGTGCGCTTGATGTCGAAGCTTTCCAAGTCGGGCAAGGCTTCAATGAGTTCCGCACGAAGTCGCTCCTGGGCCTCGGGATGGCGAGTCAGAAGCCAGCAAGCAAACGCAGCGGTATGCGAAGTAGTCGAGGAACCCGCTGCGAGCATCTCGACCATGTATGCGGGAATGTCTTCCGGAGGAACGGCAGATGCGTTTACTTTGTTCATAGACTGCAGCATCGAGAGAACATCCTTTTGTCGGCCAGCAGCGTTCTCACTATTCTCCCAGCGGTTCAAAGCTTCTTTTGCCGTGACATCCATATCATGGCAATCTTTCCTTAATGTCTTCCACTTCTCATTGCCGAACCATCTGACGTAGAAATCTGCTCCAGGGATGAAGCTCTTCATCGCGTTCCAAGTGCTAAACGCGTGAAACCGTCGAAGAAAAGCCGGTGCGTCGTTCTCCTTGTAGTTGTGCAGCAGTCTGTGTTCTTCGGCCCAGAGTACATCGGTCACAATGTCCAGCGCAAGTAAGCGGAAGACGACGACTCCGTCAACGGCTTCTTCGGCCTCATCCTTACGATGGAGCAGCTGGATGAAATCCTCGACGTGCGACTGGATGTTCTCCACCAAAGCCGCGAGGTTTTTGTTCTGGAAGCATTGGATCAAATTGTTGCGTGATGGGGCTGCAGACGGGTAGTCCACGAAACCGAGAGTGGACACGACGCCTTTCCAGCTTCCCATCGAGGAGTAGAATGAGGTCTTGAGTGCAGATTTGTCATATATCGTTTTCATTGCATTTTCGTCCACAGTGTGAACTTGATCCGTTGCGATGACGACAATGGGTCCATACTGATCAAGAAGCTTCGTAACGTAGTCCGACCGTCTACGCTTGTACGTGGCATATTTTAGTGGCAACTTGGAGACCCGCGCGTACCAGGGGCCTGGTATGTGTCTAACTGGAGACATCAAGAAAGGGTACAAGATCTACAATTCGTTGTTCTGTTAGTTCCGTTTGTGATTCTGATAGCAAGAAGATGGGTGTGGCTCACGAGAGTGTTCAACAGATACAGGGAGACAGCAATCAGCCCCCATCGAAGCATTAGCAGTAGTCCGACGGGACTCTTTGCTACTGCAGCAGCTATTACCGTCATAATGAATTGCGCCAGATAATACCGAAGTTCTTTGCGACGAAAGTATTTTCACGCGATTTTGATGACCAAAAACGCGTTGTACAGGATGATTCTTCTACGAAGACCTTTGGCGAGGATTTAATGTTGCGCAGGTCTCCTTAATGCGACACCCAAATCCTGCTCAATTTCCGACACCTGGAGAGAGCTGCCACAAAAGCCGTCCGGCATTAGTGTGACGTCATGGACTTCTGCAGCACTTGCACCCTAGCTCACAGCATGGGCCGCAGCCCTACCTAGGTAGCTCAATTTTGGCCAGGAGATAACCTTCTTTTTCCAACATTTACATTTTCCCCCATCATCCTTCGGAATATAGTGGCTCTGTACAAAGGTCGACTTCCGGTTCTACCCCGCAGCCACTATCCTACGCCCAGAATTACCTCATTGCTGTGGAGTACACTGCGGAGAATCGCGTACATGCTCCGGATAAAGTGGTATGTAATCCACCAACAGCAGATCGAACATAGCGATCTCCGAGAAGATTGAATGGCTGCGACTAATCAGACTGCGTCCTTCAGCGGTGTCTGATGAAGCCGCGTCTGAAAGCCGGAATTGATGCACTTATGGTCCTTTGCACGTGATGCAAGCGGAACACATACCACTTAGTAGGCCGAGAGTCTACACAGGTCGTGGACATGCCACGACAAACCATTGAAATAATTGATTAGCCTCGACTAGACTCCGCGTATGTCTTCAAGATGCTTGGCCGTCAACAGCATGATGTGCTCTTTGTGGTGAACATATCTACTGTATTCAGCATCTAATCAGATTTGTACAACGAACCGCTCCTGTCTATCGAAGCATGGAATATTCTGTAGTTATCGTCGGTGCGGGCCCCTCTGGCGCCACCACTGCATTGCTGCTGGCTCAACAAGGCGTGAAGTCATTTTCAATATCGAGGCACAGCGGCACGGCAAATACCCCTCGAGCGCACATCTTCAACCAAAGAGCAATGGAAGTTTTGAGGGACGCGGGTATCGAGGAGAAATTGGGCACGATAGCAAGCACTGCAGAATGTATGTTCGCTGCGTTGGGAGTACCAGCTACCTGTATCCCAAATGTCGAGCATGTACTAATCGAGTGCAGGTATGCAGCATACCTCGTGGCTGAACACACTAGCTGGCGAAGAGTATGGTCGCGTTTGGGCTTGGGGTAACCGACCATCCCAAAAAGGCGACTATGAGCGAGCGAGTCCTTGCGCCATGTCGGATCTGCCTCAAAGCTACCTCGAGCCAGTTCTGATCGAAGAAGCCACGAGGCACGGTGCCGAGTTCCGATTTTACACTGAATTCGTGCGTTTTGAGAAGATAGCTGACGTAATCGTTACGACTATGCGAAACAGGTCGACTGGAGAGGAGTACAACATAACATCCAGCTATCTAATCGGGGCAGATGGCGCTCGGAGCGCTGTGTTGCAGGCTCTCGAGATACCAGTACTTGGCCGCCAGCTCAACACCGCCTTCAACATCCATATCAAAGCCGACCTATCTAAGTACATTCAGCATCGACCAGGAAGCCTCAACTGGGTACTGAATCCCGATGCGCCAGAGTGGTCGGCTGTGGGTAACTTTCGCATGGTCAGGCCTTGGACGGAGTGGGTGGTGTCGATGCACCCCGCGACGAAGGACAAGAACAGCTCTCAGCCAACTAAGGACGCCATTCTGAAGCGGCTGTACCAGATGATTGGCGACGACTCGATTGATATTGAAATCTTGTCCTCGTTTTCTTGGACAATCAATGATCAAGTTGCTGAGAGTTGGCAAAGCGGCAGGGTGCTGTGTATCGGCGACGCGACACATAGGCATCCCCCTATAAACGGACTTGGCAGCAACACGTGCATATCAGACGCTTTCAACATCTCCTGGAAGTTGGCTTATGTTATCAAAGGCTTAGCTTCACCATCTCTCCTTGATACCCTTACGGTCGAGCGCAAGCCCGTAGGCGATAGTATCGTCCGCCGCGCGAACGATGGAATGGAGGCGCATCGAACGCTTTGGGCACTTATTGGCCTGGATAATTCGTCCAGGAAGAAGGCCACCGATCTGCTCAAGTCCGACTCGACAGAAGGAGAGAAGATGCGCAATCAGTTTCGAGAGGCACTGGAAGCTACCGAGGATGAAGTGCAAGCACTGGGCATCCAAATGAACCAGGTCTACTTGAACACATCTGCAGTGGTGATTGAGAGTGGGGATATTGCCCCCGAATTCAACCATATCAACGC